GTGTGGTAAAATTCCTTTGCTCTCAAAATATGCAGAGAGAGAGAGAGAACAATGGATGTACTGTTGGAATCTTTCCAGTCACTGAACAAAAGCGGAATAACAACGCTGGTTTGGAAAACTGAACTTTGCTGTCTGCGGATGTTCCTGTTCTTTAACTTCTGTTTGCTAAATGTCACATAGTGTGAGTGTGCATGTGTACGTTTTCTTTTATCAAGAGCTTCAGCTGGAACTGCAGAACCTGAATTTTATAAGCGGCCTGCTCGTGTTACTTCCCTACTGTAAGGTGGTGAAACAAAACTTTGCATTCATGTGACTTTAGTGTCCAAAAATGAGAATCTATTGGCGTTTTATAGGACAGTCAAACACAAAGTAGCTCAAGGATGATGAAGAAATGATACTTGGGTTTAAAAGTTTTCTAAACAACAAAACAAATCTGAAAAAAAAAAACCTTATCTCTAGCCCCAGTGTTTTGCAGCCTCTGAAATGTTCTAATCTTTGAATTGAGATTTTAATTTGTAAGAATAAACCCAGGAAACCGTTTATATTTTGCGAGGGACTAAACACAAAGAGGATCCTGGATACTTTTGCTGACCAGAAACTGAACTTTTTATCAATTACATCAGTCTAATTTCAAAACAGATGCGGAACATCTGGGACGGAAATATCCAAATGGATTTAATTTTTGATAGGATCACAACTTGAAGTGAGGTCAGTGAGGTAGTATTAGTTGGACTTGCCAAACAAAAAGTTTTTTTTCTTTTTTTTGCAGTTCAGAACATGGAAAGTGGATGAATTTATATTTGTTTTTTTTTCTTTTTTTTTCTCCTTTTGCTGACTCTAAATTACGTAGAGTTTAGAGGATTAAAGAAAATCTTGTTGTGCAATCTTAATAGTTAAGCCCAATGCTCTTAGTTAGCGATTCACCATCTTTACAACTTCTGACTCACAACAGCACAGTAAAAATTTACAGCCCCGTTAAATTTAATCCACCAATTTTATCTCTTAATCTCCAATTGTTAGGAATTTTTTTTGTTTACACAGAACATACGTTCAAGAGTTTTTCTATGTCTTTCTTCTGATTTTATTGTTTCTAAGTTAAAAGACTTCAAATTTATTACATGGAAAATAAATTCATGGCCCCATCTGTAGGTTGAGTATGCAAGCATTTCTACATATGAATGACACAAACAGCAAAAACTGCAAATACACCGCTTTTATCTATTTGTACTGTTATTTTTTTTTCCTTTTCTATTTATTGCGCAAATACACTTTGCACTTAATTATTTGTGTTATAAGTGACAAAAGGTCTATGGTTTTATACTAAAACGTAAGCTCGTGAATCAATACAAAGTGTAGAGTTGTACAACAGAAGTGGACTCTTCGGCAGATACTTTTAGAAGAGAAATATAAAACAGAAAAAGATGAAGAGGGATTAAACATTAAAGCTTTGGTGCTGGTGTTCGTCTTTAAATGCTTTAAGTGCTTTAAATGATCAAAACTATTTCCTCACCCCTTCATAGTCTTTGTAGTCCCAGTATTGCCCCAATTTCTGAGAGACCAGAATTATCCTTTAATCTTATTCCCATGAATAGAGAGCATGCATTCAGTACAAAAGCATGCCAGTCTTTGGTTAATATCTACTTTGACTTTTTCCCATTTTTCTCCTAATTAACAGCAGCTGCTATTTATTAAAAATCTTCTGATTTACCAACCAATTAAAGAAATTAAAACAAGGACGACAACCTGTTGTACAAGGTTTTTTATTGTTCTTCACTTTTGCTCCCAACCTTGTAACAAGATCAATATAAATCAGAGTGACGGGTCATCGTTCCAGTAGCTGTAAATTTTAACTGCTGTCCTCCTTGGTGAGCATCTGTTTTGCCTCTTAGAATCCAAGTCCTTATTGGAGTTTTGAGTCTCACACTTATACATTAGCTTCAACTCTTTCTTTGCCTTAGCTGATCGAACCATGCTTTATTCTCCTTCCCATCTTTTAAACACAAACGCGGACTGTCGACGATGAGAGAAGTGCGTGACTGTAAGTATGACATTGTCCAAAACGAATCCAAACGACTCAAATGGGAATAATAAACGTGCATAAAAGCTTTTAATGCCGCACCTGGGGGAGAACACGAAATGTCTTTTCCAGACTTCCCCTCTTGCACGTGCCTAATGCATCACAATGGAAAGTTCTGCTGTTTCACATTCAGGAAGTCAGCTCTCAAACGCCAGGGATCTAAGCATTGAATGTGAGCTGCAGAGTCACTTATCAGTGACTCTTCACATCTCGTGTCTACGTTGCATTTCTGATTGAAATGAACTGACAGTGGACGCAAAGGGGCCCGTTTTTATCAACCAGCACAGCGTAATTACCGGAGGGGGGCCAGGAGGAAGGGGAGTGATTTGTTTGGCGATAGGCCTCCTCAGCATGTATGCAACCCGGCCCAGCTGGGAGTAGGGAGTAACTAAAGTCCTTATGCTCAAATGGCAAAGAGCAGACTCAGAGTTTTGATTTTGGGAGTCTACAGGCATGCAGCGTTCAGCCCACACACAATTATCCATTTCTGTAACTGCTTTCTCTTGTGGTCAGAGGAGAGCTGGACAGTCTGAATATGCATTCCTGCGTGACGGAACCGAAGTTGCAAAGAACTGTGAGGGTAAAACGTCAGACTAAATGAAACGCAGAGAGCTCTGATGGTCAGGAGAAAATGTTCAAAATGCACATATTTGCTTGGTTTGCGCTTAGTGAAATGTTGATTTTCCATGCAATAACGTGTGGAATGAAAATGAAAATAATTTTGTCAGTTCACTATTTAAATCAAAGCTTTTGGTGCAGATGTCTTGGAACAGCTCTCAGTGTTCCACAGTGTTTTTTATTGCTTTTTTAATAAATTCAAGTTCATGGTAGATTTTCGAATATTGAGTGGTTGGTCTGTTAAACTAAGATATCATAAATTTTGAATTAGTCTACAAAGCCAAGAATTATCTTCAATGAATCTAGCCATCGGTCCATTCATCCATCCATTCAATGCTTATATATTAGATATTGTAAGTTTGTAGGGACAGTTTATTCTCCACTGAATATCACAGCAGGCTCATCAGATACAACTACAACAATGAACAATACTTGTTTACTTGTTACCAAACAAGTTTGTTTCTGTGCCTGATGAACTTTGGTTAAATTGTTCTTTCGTAAAGTTACTCACAGACTGCAGTGGGTAGAGTAGCAAGACATTTTGCACAAGTAAAAGTAGTGATACTTCATTTGGAAGAATTGTTGGCTTTATAAAGTCCAATACAAAGAGGAATTATGTGAAAATGTATGTATAGGTAAAACATATGTATCATTCAAAGTGTAAGAAGAAATCATGGCTTGTCTAGATAGGGTGCAAAATGACACAGAGTTGTGGTGGTGGATTTAGAAATCATAAGTTATCTCCAGAATTCATCCTTTATAATGTGAAGTTTTACTCTGCTGTGGAAGCGTTCTCTGAGCTTTCTTTGATATGGCCTCATTTTACATATTTAGAGCAAAGAACAGGTTGTTCAGAAACAGACTTTGAATCTAGGGTATCTTCTCCATAAACCATTTCTTTGGGTAACAAATCGACCCTCCTTATAGGCATTTTTTTCTCTGTCATTTTGCAGTTTGATTTATTTACTTAACACAACAACAATTCAGCTAGACATCTTTTATGCAAATATTATTGGATTTTGAACTCATTCCACACAAAACCTTAGCTTTGTGTGTCTGTGGGGACAAATGTTTTCCTTTAAACCCCAAAACACCATTTGGTATTCGGAACTGCTGGGACGGGGTTAGCCTTTGGGGCATCGGGTAATGGGAAAAGTAAAACAGCCTGCGTGTGTGTGTGTGCGTGCGCGTGTGCTGGTATGTGTGCGTGTGTAAGAGGGACATAGAAAAATCTAAGCTTCTCAGAAAGTAAACATCGGAAACTGTAACTTTTCAACTTTTCAAAACAAAAGCACACTTTTTTCTTTTATATTTCTGTTGTTTCTAGACTGATACAGATGTAGCTATAATATGCCTGATTAGAAAGAAACATTTTTCTCTCCCAATATTGTGAAAGGCAATATTTATTTCGCAAAGTTTCCTTCTGTTATTTGACCAGCTATTCCATATACATATTCAGAGTAAAACTAAAGACCCTTCAGAACCCTTGAGTGCAACACAACAGCCCAAATGTTCAAAACTGAGCATCAGTTTTAGCCACATTAAAGAAAGCAATGAAGATCACAAAGGGTTTAGACTTTAAGGTTAGAAAATAGTTTAAATTAAGCAAGATTCATTGCTGAACTTTACATAAAATGTTGACCACTAAATGTGCATTTAATTTCTTCATACAAGGTCAAAGTATTGAACTCTTTTACGTTTTAATCCATTAATACTGCAAATATCAGGATATTTAATTGTGATATGAACTAATAAACCAAATAAATAACTGTGAAATTATAGGGAAATAATACATACTTTCAACATTTTTAGGTAAAGTTGAAATCCCGGTTATGTCAGCATCTGCAGCTGTAAACAGCTCCAAGTGCACCGTCAAATCCACCACCTGATCATTTGTAATGTGACATAACCCTTTACCCAAACAGACTAGTTGGACACACAACAAACATGTTGAACAACTATCTTTGGTCAGGCGAGACCAACATTAGTGTATCAATTTTGTTTTTACTCTGTTTTGTATTTGCATTTCAAACAGTATATTATAGCATTTATTTTTGTGTAATCATTGGCCTATCTGCAGGGACATAATTAATTCAAACCACATAAAATGATCTCGTACAACACACTTTGTACTAATTTGTATTGCTCTATTACGTAATATGCTGTTGAAATACATTAAAATTTGCTGTAAATCCTTTACAACATGTTAACTTAATCAGAACACAACTTACAGAGACTTTTATTTTGAAAGTTTCAACCGGATGTAGCTGGTAGTTTTTCGAGCTAGCTTACTCCCGCTCTCTAAAACTCCTGCGGTTTCTGTCTAACCCAGCAAACGCGCTTCACGCGAAAGAAGGACACCTCAGAGCTACAGAGAGGACATTTAACATTTTGTTTTATCAACACTTGCCTTGACTTTGTTCCGTGTTTGTGGATGAGGCGCTTAGAACGGGAGAAAGTCAACGTCGCATGCACGTTTTCCTCAAAACAGTTTTTGACGATCGGAAACACTGTCTCTTGGGAAGCTGTACATGGTATGGTTTTTATCGAGTTTTATTTTATTTTATCTTTAACTGTATAACAATTATTATACTGTAAATATGTAAACGCTTTGTTTGTGTTAGTTATTAATGACTGAATTGTTGTTCGGAGGGGTTTACTGTACTGCAGAGTTTTAATTACCTGTGGACAGGTGTAAAGGTTAGCTCCACATGGTGCAGTTTGTTAGATTAATCGGACATGAAATAGTACAACAAGTAAGAACTTATTGTTTTTAAAGTACTGCTTAAAGCCAACAGCACTTCTCTGACGTGTAACAGATCGTTGTTCTTCTTGCTTTTTAGTAATTTTTTTATGTAATCTTTGTGTGCATCAGGCATGACAGGTTGGGTGGATGCAGAAACAACAAAGAAACTCCTGTCGAGTAATCGCACTAGTTTCCTGCTCAGATTATAGTTTCAGTCCAGGACTCTGCTTCAACAGTGATCCTTATCAGGAACGTTCAACAGTAACCTTTATCATCTCCAAATAAATCTCATTTATCTTATAACTTCAGAAACAAATAGACCTGGGCCAATTTCTGCTGAGCCACACTCTATTGGATGACTACAAAACTTAAATTGTACAAAGCTAATAGTTTGTGCCCTCGTTGAAGGCGCATACAGTGTCTTGTGCAGTATCTATGCCCCTTTAAATGTTTTTACATTTTGTCACATTGCAACAACATTCTTTAATGGATTTTATTGGGATTTTATGTGATGGATCACTACAAAGTAGAACTAGTACCTGTGGAGGAAAACAGGCTAGTTCTCAAAATCTTGTAATCTGGAAGTGCAGAGTGCATTTGTATTCAAAACGTTAGGATTTCATTTGACCTGAGCATCTTCTTCCATTTTTGTTGTTGTTGTTGTTATATCCACTACCTGAAACTGCAAAAAAAAAAGCCTTAAATACGTTAAATATGCATGAATAGCAAATACTACTCCATTCGATTCACATAAAATCTTAATGCAAATGCAAAGTAAAACTTAAAAAAAGTAGGACAAACTATCAAGAAAACAATCAAAGAGAGGAGGAGATTGCTTAAGAATGGTCACTACTGTTGTCGTTGGATAATTAACTAATATTCATGAGAACTAAGTTTGCGGAGCCCTGTTTTAAGTCATGTAACACACATGAAATGCACATAATGCATTGATTTTATAGTGTTTTGCGAAGCATCAACTTCAGAAAAGTAAAAGCAGAGTGTGGAGAAGCTTGATTTATCATAGGGCAGAAAATCTGACGTAGTGAAATGAGTAACGAGTTTCAACCGTCTGAATGAGGAAAATCTCTCCTCTCTGCCAGATCTGCAAACATGATGTATATATGAGTCACCTGAAATGTCTCTACCTCCAGATCCATAGAACCTCGGAGGAATAAACAACTTTGTAGAATTTCAGCCATTGGCTGCATCGATCCTTTAAAAAAAACACACAAAAAAAAACAACTTTTGTCAAGAGCATGAAAACTTAAAACACTCCCTATTACATCAAAGCAGAGGTTGCCCAATACTATTTTCCTTATTCGGACCAACTTGCCCTGTAGGCACAACAATAGCTTGTGAATTCCTAAAATAAATGTCATTCCCCTTGTAATGCAGTGCACAGACACTCCTTACATTATACAGATGGACAGCATTGTTACTACGACAAGTGTGGAGAGATAAATCCAGCAGGAAACATAAACGCAGCTCTGGGTTTTCCAAAAAAAAAAAGTGAACTTGATAACAAAGTGATCCTTTTTGTTTACCAGCGTTTGTCACGCACAAGTGCACAGCACTAGTGGAGTGTTTACATGAGGAAAAAAAAAAAAAAATTCCCAAGAGTGCTCATTTGCTGTAAGTAACGAGATTAAAAAAAGCACATAGGCTATTTTCGTAAGCAGCTGCCTCATCTGTAAGCTATTGCCAAATAGTTGGAACAAGATGAGAATATCCGAAAGACGAACAAACAAACTGAGCGAGGAGAGCTCGACGCTCCTACGCTGTAGGATGACTGGTTTCCATTTCTGCACCTTAAGCGCAGAACAAGGCCAGATTCTTGCGTGAACCGTTTTCCTTAAGGAGGCGGGGATGTTTGTGTTTATGCGTTCATCATTTCTTTCTGTTTTTTTTTTTTTTGTCTCTTCCTCACATTGGATCCTCTTATTAGTCTCATAGCTCCATACAAGTTAAGATATGCTCTCTGTTTGCTGTAGGGTTGGTATTTTTGAAAACTAAATGTTTTAAAAGTTGTATTTCAATCTGTTCCTGTACTTCTTCTTTTAAGGTGAAGACATTTTGACTTGTTGCGCGAGTTAGGCTATCTCCTCTCTCCTTTTTTTTTGTGGAAAACAGCTGACTGGTTTTAGATCCAAGTTATGTTTATTTCTTTTAAAACACTTCACTTCAAGTTATGGAGTCTTCTGTTTTGCTGCTCTGAATTTTGTCCTTGAGCTGATTAAATTCGGGGTCAAGTTCCTCTGTCCTTTTCTGTTACGCTGCACAAACTTTTCCCTTGAACAAATGAAAAGTGCTAAACTTTCGGAGACAAGTCAACAATAGGAACACAGTGAGAGCTGTCAGGCAACTTGAAGGCTGTGTTTTAGTTTTCCTGAGGGACCATCACATCAAGAGCAGTGCTGTTTGAGGATTTACAAGCTTCCTTTTGTTTAGGCTGTCCTTCATTGTGTGGAAATTACTCTGCTGTAGATGGCTGTTAGCTGTAATTAGCGATTTCCCACACCGGGGTAGTTTCGACTGCAACACCGACTCATTTTGGTTTTCCCAAATAACAAAACGTAGCACACGTTCATCATCTTGCACCTCAAGATGCAAGATGATGCATCTTGAGGTGCATCATCTTAAGGAGGCGGGGATGTTTGTGTTTATGCGTTCATCATTTCTTTCTGTTTTTTTTTTTTTTGTCTCTTCCTCACATTGGATCCTCTTATTAGTCTCATAGCTCCATACAAGTTAAGATATGCTCTCTGTTTGCTGTAGGGTTGGTATTTTTGAATACTAAATGTTTTAGTATTTTGAACATGGAACATTTGTTCCATGTTCAAAATCGAAAAAAAAAAAAATTGCAGAAAATTGAGCACGAGGCAGCTAAGAGCAGAGTAGGAAGTTTCAAAGGAGTTATAACTAAGATTTCAAACACTGGCACCTGCAGTAATGTGAAAATTTCTGTCAATACTTGGTAGGAAGTTAGACGTTTCTGCTCCGGTTCTGACCAGCATTTTCACTCTGATTCTCCCAGGTGTCAGCCCTCTCATTTCTCCCAACAATTGTGTCACCGTGATGCTCTACATTAGTTTTATCCAGGATCTGTCTTGCTTCTTCACTGCGTCCATAACCCTGACGTTTACTAAAAGAAAGCACTTTTTGATCGGATCCGCATTGCCCTCTGTCAGCCCAACCAAGTCAACCAAGGTGGCTGAAATGCTGCTACTTCCAGTTTTTAATTTATCTTAAGAGTCTGATTTAAAAATGGATGAAGCAATGAGTTATTGAAATTGTCAGTAATAAAATCCTCTTTCCTATATGCAAGCTGAAGGAAGGCAACAAACCTTTTTTTTTTTTTTTAATGTGGCTGTAAATAGAGGGACAAAAATTGTTCCCCATCTCATATCGGTCCATTTCAACCACAAATAAGTCTGTATTGAAGCAGTGGTGGAGTGTAGCAAACTCAGAAACTAAACATAAATTGCATAGATCAGCTTTTTGAGAAACACTGAATTGATTTTGAGAATAACTAAGTATTGTTTAAATACGTTCCCTTCTCGGTGAGGCAAACATTAACTTTACTGTGAATGTTTAACCTGTATTCTATTGCAGGTTTAATAAAACATAAAAGAACACTCTGAAATCAGTATTCTTGACATTCCAGTTTTATCCAGGCAAACACCCTTGATGTGCTGGAATGATGCCACACTTCTTGTTGCCTTCACAGCAGTGAATCAAAGCCACTCGAAAGACCGGAGTCAGCGTTTGCATAACTTTGTCTCTGCAGTTATGCAAGTCCTGTAATGATGGATTATGAGACTTTAAAAAAAAAAAAAATGAAAAGGGGAACCTGAACCTTTACATCTTGAAAGCAGCTCAGCTTGCCAGCTGATATGTGGCTGAATTTATTTGAAATCTAAGACACTGAACTTTTTGTCTTGTATCATAATTTCTGATACCCAGATGTTTCAGCTAACTTGTATGTAAAGTTTTTCTTTTTTTTTTTTTTTTTTTTTTAAAGCGCTAACAGTTAATTTTAGCCGTCAGATATACTATTTTAATATTCTTGCAGTGATAAAAGATGTCACTGCATGGTGACCGTGCAACTCGGGTTTAAGAATACATCTTTCATCCATTGGCAGTCAGGATTTAAAAGGTTTTCCTCTTTACCGAGGCATAAGGGTTGTGACCTCTCCACAGCATTTGGATTGGCATTCTTATCCGGCTAGGATTTTTATTTTTTATTTGCATCCACAGCTGGACTGCACAGCTGTTTGTGGCACGTTGGAGAATATTTTATGGCCTTATAATCCTGAGTCTCTAAGAACAAGTTGCATGTTTTGGTTTCAGAGTACTTCAGTAATTTTCCCCACAGGTTAAGGAACACGTGTTTTAATTTATTTTTATTTGATTCAGGTAACCAGGATAGAAACCATTGTATATTTCACATCTTTTCCCTGTTCTCTATTTAAGGAGAACACCTTAATTGCAATTGCATTATATTGCTATGCTTTAGAAATATTACGGTAAATAATGACGTGATTATTAAGACTTTAAAACTTGCCTGCTTGCTGAGGAGGCAGTTCAGCCATTTTATTCAGGCGTTTTTGAGTTTCAACTTAATTTTGTTTATTATTTTTTTTAATGTATATAATTTCTCACTCTAAACAAGATTAAGAAATCATCATGTTTTTCACCTCAACCCCTCCCACCCCCAAAATCACTGAGGCTGATTCTGTTTGGGTCTTCTTGCAACACGTCATTGATCTGACATGTTTTGTTTTTAGT